CGGGTCGAAATTTTGAATTTCGATATCTCAGCTCTGGAAGGGTCTAGAGCCTCCATTTTTGCACTCAGGTCAAAGTCTCACAGCCCTCTATCATAATCCAGAGTTTTGAGAAGATTGGAGAAACTTAATTTTTCGCCCAAAATGAAAAAAAACGAAAGGGGTAACACTGTCGTTTTTTTTTCGGGTCGAAATTTTGAATTTCGATATCTCAGCTCTGGAAGGGTCTAGAGCCTCCATTTTTGCACTCAGGTCAAAGTCTCACAGCCCTCTATCATAATCCAGAGTTTTGAGAAGATTGGAGAAACTTAATTTTTCGCCCAAAAATGAAAAAAAACGAAAGGGGTAACACTGTCGTTTTTTTTTCGGGTCGAAATTTTGAATTTCGATATCTCAGCTCTGGAAGGGTCTAGAGCCTCCATTTTTGCACTCAGGTCAAAGTCTCACAGCCCTCTATCATAATCCAGAGTTTTGAGAAGATTGGAGAAACTTAATTTTTCGCCCAAAAATGAAAAAAAACGAAAGGGGTAACACTGTCGTTTTTTTTTCGGGTCGAAATTTTGAATTTCGATATCTCAGCTCTGGAAGGGTCTAGAGCCTCCATTTTTGCACTCAGGTCAAAGTCTCACAGCCCTCTATCATAATCCAGAGTTTTGAGAAGATTGGAGAAACTTAATTTTTCGCCCAAAAATGAAAAAAAACGAAAGGGGTAACACTGTCGTTTTTTTTTCGGGTCGAAATTTTGAATTTCGATATCTCAGCTCTGGAAGGGTCTAGAGCCTCCATTTTTGCACTCAGGTCAAAGTCTCACAGCCCTCTATCATAATCCAGAGTTTTGAGAAGATTGGAGAAACTTAATTTTTCGCCCAAAAATGAAAAAAAACGAAAGGGGTAACACTGTCGTTTTTTTTTCGGGTCGAAATTTTGAATTTCGATATCTCAGCTCTGGAAGGGTCTAGAGCCTCCATTTTTGCACTCAGGTCAAAGTCTCACAGCCCTCTATCATAATCCAGAGTTTTGAGAAGATTGGAGAAACTTAATTTTTCGCCCAAAAATGAAAAAAAACGAAAGGGGTAACACTGTCGTTTTTTTTTCGGGTCGAAATTTTGAATTTCGATATCTCAGCTCTGGAAGGGTCTAGAGCCTCCATTTTTGCACTCAGGTCAAAGTCTCACAGCCCTCTATCATAATCCAGAGTTTTGAGAAGATTGGAGAAACTTAATTTTTCGCCCAAAAATGAAAAAAAAACGAAAGGGGTAACACTGTCGTTTTTTTTTCGGGTCGAAATTTTGAATTTCGATATCTCAGCTCTGGAAGGGTCTAGAGCCTCCATTTTTGCACTCAGGTCAAAGTCTCACAGCCCTCTATCATAATCCAGAGTTTTGAGAAGATTGGAGAAACTTAATTTTTCGCCCAAAAATGAAAAAAAACGAAAGGGGTAACACTGTCGTTTTTTTTTCGGGTCGAAATTTTGAATTTCGATATCTCAGCTCTGGAAGGGTCTAGAGCCTCCATTTTTGCACTCAGGTCAAAGTCTCACAGCCCTCTATCATAATCCAGAGTTTTGAGAAGATTGGAGAAACTTAATTTTTCGCCCAAAAATGAAAAAAAAACGAAAGGGGTAACACTGTCGTTTTTTTTTCGGGTCGAAATTTTGAATTTCGATATCTCAGCTCTGGAAGGGTCTAGAGCCTCCATTTTTGCACTCAGGTCAAAGTCTCACAGCCCTCTATCATAATCCAGAGTTTTGAGAAGATTGGAGAAACTTAATTTTTCGCCCAAAATGAAAAAAAACGAAAGGGGTAACACTGTCGTTTTTTTTTCGGGTCGAAATTTTGAATTTCGATATCTCAGCTCTGGAAGGGTCTAGAGCCTCCATTTTTGCACTCAGGTCAAAGTCTCACAGCCCTCTATCATAATCCAGAGTTTTGAGAAGATTGGAGAAACTTAATTTTTCGCCCAAAAATGAAAAAAAACGAAAGGGGTAACACTGTCGTTTTTTTTTTCGGGTCGAAATTTTGAATTTCGATATCTCAGCTCTGGAAGGGTCTAGAGCCTCCATTTTTGCACTCAGGTCAAAGTCTCACAGCCCTCTATCATAATCCAGAGTTTTGAGAAGATTGGAGAAACTTAATTTTTCGCCCAAAAATGAAAAAAAACGAAAGGGGTAACACTGTCGTTTTTTTTTCGGGTCGAAATTTTGAATTTCGATATCTCAGCTCTGGAAGGGTCTAGAGCCTCCATTTTTGCACTCAGGTCAAAGTCTCACAGCCCTCTATCATAATCCAGAGTTTTGAGAAGATTGGAGAAACTTAATTTTTCGCCCAAAAATGAAAAAAAACGAAAGGGGTAACACTGTCGTTTTTTTTTTCGGGTCGAAATTTTGAATTTCGATATCTCAGCTCTGGAAGGGTCTAGAGCCTCCATTTTTGCACTCAGGTCAAAGTCTCACAGCCCTCTATCATAATCCAGAGTTTTGAGAAGATTGGAGAAACTTAATTTTTCGCCCAAAAATGAAAAAAAACGAAAGGGGTAACACTGTCGTTTTTTTTTTCGGGTCGAAATTTTGAATTTCGATATCTCAGCTCTGGAAGGGTCTAGAGCCTCCATTTTTGCACTCAGGTCAAAGTCTCACAGCCCTCTATCATAATCCAGAGTTTTGAGAAGATTGGAGAAACTTAATTTTTCGCCCAAAAATGAAAAAAAACGAAAGGGGTAACACTGTCGTTTTTTTTTCGGGTCGAAATTTTGAATTTCGATATCTCAGCTCTGGAAGGGTCTAGAGCCTCCATTTTTGCACTCAGGTCAAAGTCTCACAGCCCTCTATCATAATCCAGAGTTTTGAGAAGATTGGAGAAACTTAATTTTTCGCCCAAAAATGAAAAAAAACGAAAGGGGTAACACTGTCGTTTTTTTTTCGGGTCGAAATTTTGAATTTCGATATCTCAGCTCTGGAAGGGTCTAGAGCCTCCATTTTTGCACTCAGGTCAAAGTCTCACAGCCCTCTATCATAATCCAGAGTTTTGAGAAGATTGGAGAAACTTAATTTTTCGCCCAAAAATGAAAAAAAACGAAAGGGGTAACACTGTCGTTTTTTTTTCGGGTCGAAATTTTGAATTTCGATATCTCAGCTCTGGAAGGGTCTAGAGCCTCCATTTTTGCACTCAGGTCAAAGTCTCACAGCCCTCTATCATAATCCAGAGTTTTGAGAAGATTGGAGAAACTTAATTTTTCGCCCAAAAATGAAAAAAAACGAAAGGGGTAACACTGTCGTTTTTTTTTTCGGGTCGAAATTTTGAATTTCGATATCTCAGCTCTGGAAGGGTCTAGAGCCTCCATTTTTGCACTCAGGTCAAAGTCTCACAGCCCTCTATCATAATCCAGAGTTTTGAGAAGATTGGAGAAACTTAATTTTTCGCCCAAAAATGAAAAAAAAACGAAAGGGGTAACACTGTCGTTTTTTTTTCGGGTCGAAATTTTGAATTTCGATATCTCAGCTCTGGAAGGGTCTAGAGCCTCCATTTTTGCACTCAGGTCAAAGTCTCACAGCCCTCTATCATAATCCAGAGTTTTGAGAAGATTGGAGAAACTTAATTTTTCGCCCAAAAATGAAAAAAACGAAAGGGGTAACACTGTCGTTTTTTTTTCGGGTCGAAATTTTGAATTTCGATATCTCAGCTCTGGAAGGGTCTAGAGCCTCCATTTTTGCACTCAGGTCAAAGTCTCACAGCCCTCTATCATAATCCAGAGTTTTGAGAAGATTGGAGAAACTTAATTTTTCGCCCAAAAATGAAAAAAAAACGAAAGGGGTAACACTGTCGTTTTTTTTTCGGGTCGAAATTTTGAATTTCGATATCTCAGCTCTGGAAGGGTCTAGAGCCTCCATTTTTGCACTCAGGTCAAAGTCTCACAGCCCTCTATCATAATCCAGAGTTTTGAGAAGATTGGAGAAACTTAATTTTTCGCCCAAAAATGAAAAAAAACGAAAGGGGTAACACTGTCGTTTTTTTTTTCGGGTCGAAATTTTGAATTTCGATATCTCAGCTCTGGAAGGGTCTAGAGCCTCCATTTTTGCACTCAGGTCAAAGTCTCACAGCCCTCTATCATAATCCAGAGTTTTGAGAAGATTGGAGAAACTTAATTTTTCGCCCAAAAATGAAAAAAAAAACGAAAGGGGTAACACTGTCGTTTTTTTTTCGGGTCGAAATTTTGAATTTCGATATCTCAGCTCTGGAAGGGTCTAGAGCCTCCATTTTTGCACTCAGGTCAAAGTCTCACAGCCCTCTATCATAATCCAGAGTTTTGAGAAGATTGGAGAAACTTAATTTTTCGGCCAAAAATGAAAAAAAAACGAAAGGGGTAACACTGTCGTTTTTTTTTCGGGTCGAAATTTTGATTTCGATATCTCAGCTCTGGAAGGGTCTAGAGCCTCCATTTTTGCACTCAGGTCAAAGTCTCACAGCCCTCTATCATAATCCAGAGTTTTGAGAAGATTGGAGAAACTTAATTTTTCGCCCAAAAATGAAAAAAAAACGAAAGGGGTAACACTGTCGTTTTTTTTTCGGGTCGAAATTTTGAATTTCGATATCTCAGCTCTGGAAGGGTCTAGAGCCTCCATTTTTGCACTCAGGTCAAAGTCTCACAGCCCTCTATCATAATCCAGAGTTTTGAGAAGATTGGAGAAACTTAATTTTTCGCCCAAAAATGGAAAAAAAACGAAAGGGGTAACACTGTCGTTTTTTTTTTCGGGTCGAAATTTTGAGTTTCGATATCTCAGCTCTGGAAGGGTCTAGAGCCTCCATTTTTGCACTCAGGTCAAAGTCTCACAGCCCTCTATCACAATCCAGAGTTTTGAGAAGATTGGAGAAACTTAATTTTTCGCCCAAAAATGAAAAAAACGAAAGGGGTAACACTGTCGTTTTTTTTTTCGGGTCGAAATTTTGAGTTTCGATATCTCAGCTCTGGAAGGGTCTAGATCATCCATTTTTGCACTCAGGTCAAAGTCTCACAGCCCTCTATCATAATCCAGAGTTTTGAGAAGATTGGAGAAACTTAATTTTTCGCCCAAAAATGAAAAAAAACGAAAGGGGTAACACTGTCGTTTTTTTTTTGGGTCGAAATTTTGAGTTTCGATATCTCAGCTCTGGAAGGGTCTAGAGCCTCCATTTTTGCACTCAGGTCTAAGTCCCATGGTCCTCTATCAGAATCCAGAGTTTCAAACTCAAAATTTCGTATAGTATATACAGTAGCCAGTATAGCTCTGCATGTAGTAATTATACATAAAAAAAACCCCTCTACATTAACCCTTTAAGACCGACCGGAGCGCCGGCGGACAGGCTATTGAAACTGAAACCAAATGGCTAGCTCAATCATTCTTTTTGTATACAAAACCAGAGATGTAACATGATCAGATCAAGCCTCCAACATGCTCATGTTGCGTTGTTTTCACCCTCTATGAGTCAGTACAAATTGCGTAAAATGCATTTCACAAAAAAAAAAAAAAATCACAAAATGCATTGCACGTCTTTGCACACATGTTCTGTAGATCTGCGATTGATAGTTACATCCATAGATATCATGTGGTTACGTCTTCCATTGACGGATCTATGGAAGGATCACGTCCTGTGCACTATGACCCCAGTGTGTGTCGCATATAGTGACGTCAAAAGCTGCGTCTTTTGGCCATGCGTCTATCTCATAGGGTTGACTCCCACTTGACTCCCATCTGCTATATGTTCCTTCTTGTCGTTATTGTCTTTTTACCATTGCTTAATTCTATAATTTCTTTCTCGTTTATACACTCGCAAATACAAGCACACACACACACACACACATGCGTGCGCAACGTTGTCAAAATGAAAGCACACGGACGCACCGAACTCTCGCCTGCTCATCGCCTTTATTTATGTATTTTATATTTATTTTATTATTAATTGTTCTGACAGGGTCTATTTAATTTATATTCTAACCAATTCAATGTTCAATCAATATTCAAAAGCAAAATGTTATCTGTTTGACCACAAATGTAATTGAATATTTTACATGTTTTTTTACCCCTTTTTTAAATGAGTGTATCCTAAAAAATAATTCATGTAAACAGTATAGTTTTAAATTGTTTTATGCACGTTTTTCACATTGACAACTTTGAGGCTGACATTTATCATTGTTTTTGTATTGAATAAAATATGTAGAATTTCTTTTTGTTTATTGCACTCTTGAGAGATATTTATCTAGTTACTATTTATTTATTACAAACATAGCCTTCAAGTTGGGAGAGTAAAGATTATTTTGATGTATGGCATATGAAAATGCTCAAAAGAATGACAGCACAGCATGTAAAAATAGAAAGATAATACTCTGCTGGAACTGTTCTATGGCAGGTCATAAAGGGTTTAGGCACTTTCTCTGTCCCATCTTTCCTCTGCTGTCATCCTCTCTTCCCTCACCCTCGCATTTCTCATCCCTGGACGTGAATACTGCAACAGATACTTTATGCTCCATTCTAACCTCGTCTTTAGACAACATCTGCCCTCTCTCCACCAGGCCAGCACGCGTTACTACCTCCAACCCCTGGTTATCTGAGGTTCTTCGTGAACACCGGACTGAACTCAGGGCAGCGGAGAGGAAATGGCGCAAATCAAGACACCCCCAGCCAACAACCCTCTCTTCTCCTTCACACCACTAACTGAGGAACAAGTATCTAAGCTTCTCCTCTCCAGTCATCCTACCACTTGCCCTCTTGATCCCATCACATCTGCTCCAAGCAATCTCTCCTACACTTCTTCCAGAACCCACACACACATCATAAACTCATCACGCATTTTCCCTACAGCATTAAGCAGGCTCGGGTAACTCCACTGCTTAAAAAATCAACACTGAGTGAACACATCACTCTTAACAAACTACAGACCTGTCTCTCTCTTACCATTCATTGCAAAAACACTTGCTTTCAACCAAGTATCCTCTTTCCTGTCCCTGAACAATCAGCTGGATGTCAACCAATCAGGCTTCAGGCAAGGGCATTCATCTGAGACTGCATTGCTGTCGGTCACCGAAGCCCTGCAGATCGCTAAAGCTGCTTCCAAATCATCAGTCCTTATCCTTCTGGACCTGTCTGCTGCATTCGACACTGTGAATCATTAGATCCTTCTGTCCACCCTCTCATCACTGGGCATCACTGGAACTTCCCTCCACTGGTTTGAGTCCTATCTCACAGGTAGGTCCTTCAGGGTCGCATGGAGAGGCGAGGTATCCAAAGCACATCAGCTGACCTCGGGAGTTCCCCAGGGTTCAGTGCTTGGTCCACTCCTCCTCTCCATTTACACCACATCACTGGGAGCAATCATACAGGCACATGGTTTCTCTTACCATTGCTATGCTGATAACACCCAGCTCTGCCTCTCATTTCAACCAGTACCTGCACCAATCTCAAGCTGTCTAGCTGATATCTCGGCATGGATGAAGGAACAACACCTGCAGCTCAAACTGGCTAAGACGGAGCTTAAAAAAAATCATTTTCTTTCAAATTCCTGCTTATCTGGCTACCCCATGCAATGTCTGAATTTTGTATTTTGAACACTTGCGTTGTTTTTGCCTCTTCACGGTGACTCGCTTGGTTTAGTCCTCAGTTGTAAGTCGCTTTGGATAAAAAGCGTCTGCTAAATGACTAAATGTAAATGTGTGTACTCAAACTGAACAAAAAAAATGGGATCACATTACTGTGAATTCATAATTTTATGTACCCAACTGTTGCTACACATACACAAAATTCACATTCACTCATTGGCAAAAGTCTGCAGCATACTGTTCTTCTCTTCTTAGGTCCTTGGGCTGCACAATGTTTGTTGACCTCAAACAGAAATCACTTAACGGTAACTGTTTTTTTGTTTGTTTTTTTAAAGGCAGCAAGATGGCTGAAATTTATGATGCACATTTAAATACTTCTCTGCTTGGCAGAGTTAAAAACTTTTGAGAATAAAATTTAAATAATCCTCTCATAGCCCCTCCCTTTCATGGGTATTTCCACAAAATGTTCCCAATCTTCTGCAATTTCCTCTCTTCCTAGAAGACTATATTTGCATTTCAAAACAGCAAGTTCACAATGGATTTTAAACCACACTAGAAGTCTTTTTAAAGCCGTCCAATCAATTCACTCCCATTTCCATGTCTGTGAATCCATAAAGGTCTACTACAAGTTCCCATAACGAGGTTGAGGGCAACTCTGACTCTGAGGGCTTCATTCAGACTGACAGCGGGATCGGGCTGTCTCCTCGGTCAGAGCCTGTGCGGAGTAAGGAGGGCGAGAGGGGTCAGTCCTCTTTTGGCTCCTGCCGCACACGGGCCCCGAGTTCTCCTATGTGGAGCAGGGTTCTGCTGTGGTTCTCCTCATGAAGGTTCTTATCAGCTCCAGCTGGCGTTGTGCAGTTCGTCTCTGAGCCAAACGGGCAGAGGCTGACCCAGACGTTTAAACATCCTGAGTAACTCCACGTTCTGCTCGCGGTAATACTCTGACAGAAACGTCCTTGACTGGAAGGATGGGAAGAAAACAAAATGGGAGTTACACACAAATATATATATGGAAGCCCATTTCCATCACATAAGAATAAAAAACATGCTTCAGTAAACCATAATTATGACATAAAAAGTCTACTAAGTCATAATCATGAGATAAAATCATAATTGTGACATACTGCAAGTCAAAATTACATTAAAAAAGGGAACATTATGACAGCATAAAAATAGACTCTCAAGACTGTCATAATTTTGGCTTTTTATGTCAATTTTGAAAATCTCAATTGAGTCATCATTTTGTCTTTTTTGTTATGAATTATTATCTTATAATTGACTAACTGTACGAATGTATGTCGATTAACTCTCCAAAATCATAATTGTGACAAGTCAATTATAATACTAAGTCTTAATTATGAGATTATGAAAATTATGAGACGCCAAGTCTATGACTGAAAATTATAAAAACAATTATGGCATAAAAAGTAAAAATGATGAGATACTAAGTCAATTATGGCATACTAATTCTTAATTATGAGGTAAAAGGTGTAAATTGACAAAAAGTCAAGACATGAAAAATTGACAAACTTGATATAAAATCATAAATATGGCATGGAAATTTGGTGCCATTAAAAAAAAAAAAACTTTGGTAAATCATAATTATGAGATGAATTCTGCTCTATTTTGACTTGATTTCTAACCGACTCTTTCTCAACTGTGCTGCTGAACTATAGAGGAAAACAGGACTAAATAAACTTCACTGGCTTGGCTATAATTGAAATGCGATGTCTATTTCTGTTCAGTTCGAGTATCTTATCTCCATATCTGGAGCTCTAACATTGAGAAGTGAGCTGTACCTCCAGGCTCATGTCTGGATATTTCCTTCCTTTGCTCTTTCCCAGACAGCGAGTGCGTCCTGCCTCCAGTTTCTGACACCAGAAACCTTTACTCTCGTCAAACCTTTCAACAGAGAGCAGAGAGAGGGTCACTTTTCCTATAGTAAGACTTTTGAAAACAAACACTCATGTACATACATTCCAAGACTTCAGCAATAAATAAAAAATGTATTAAGGTTTTTACATTATATTTATAACAGTAATACATAAGGTTGAGCTTGAGATCCTTTCTATCTAAACCGGATACATCTAGAAGCCTAGCGAATGTTTTGTACGCAGTATTATCAGCACAGCCACACACCACCAAAACAATGATCTTCCACAAAAAAGCATGCAGTTTTATTTTTATCCACTAAATGGCTAAAAGTTACATAGTGTATCTTTAAGTAAAATGTGACCAATTAGCATCCAGGACTGGAACTACTGTATCAGTTTTGTAATAAATATAGTTTTATTAAAGGAGCAGTTTTTTTTTGTTGTTGTTGATAATTTACTCACCCCCATGTCATCCAAGATATCCATGACATTCTTTCTTCAGTCGAAAAGAAATTAAGGTTTTTGATGAAAACATTCCAGCATTTTTCTCCATATAATGCATTTTGCTGGGCACCAAACGGTTCAACGAATCTTTTTCGTGTCATTTGGTTCATTCAACGAACGAAATGAACAAATTGACTCGGGAAAAGATTCATTCATTTTGATAAATGAGTTCAAACAGGAGAGTCACGAACGCGCATCACAGAACAGAGCAAGGCGACCATTTGAGCTTATAAAACTTAAACTTTGTTATTTTGTTTTTAAAATGAGCGATCATTTTACTTGATAAGACCCTTATTCATCGTCTGGAATCGTTTAAAGCCCTTTAAACAGTTTGCACTGAAACTGTCTTTTGGACTTTGAACCGTTTGGTTCCCATTGAAGTCCATTATATGGAGAAAAATGCTGGAATGTTTTCATCAAAAACCTTAATTTCTTTTCGACTGAAGAAAGAATGACATGGACATTTTGGATGACATGGGGGTGAGTAAATTATCAGCAAAAGTTTTTTTTTAAAAGTGAACTACTGTAAGCGCTCTTGGACTGAGAAGGTGTGTAATTAGGAGGAGAGCTCGTACGTCAGAGCCTGTGTGTAGTTGAAGTACGGTGTGACTCCCAGGAACTTCTGAATCCCATCCATCATCTGAGCAGGACTGGAGCGCAGCTGCACACCATCCACGATCAACAGCTGTTCACAGGATAAAACGCACATCACACACACTCATGCAGCTCCACACTTCTGCTCAGGAACGCTATCAGATGTTTTTTGAACGAGTGGTTCACTGAAGACTCAAATGTGTGTGTGTGCATTCATTACTTGTTTGTGTGAATATTCTAGGTTATTTCTCAACATAAATATAAAGCTGTTGATAACAGATGCTGACAACTCCAGTTTTCATTCATGTGTATAATTTAACACAGATTACAGTAATACACTTATAAATGAACCATGATTATCAACTAGTAGTCTTAAGATAACTTAAAAAATGCAAAACAAGCATCAAGATTCTTTCATCGAAATCATTTCTAGATTTTATGAATACAGATTGGGGTCAGTATGATTTATTATTTTATTTTTTTGAAGAAGAAATTAATTTGTTCATTCATTGATCAAGTTTCTATTTTTTCCCTCTGAACATTTACCAAAAAAAAATTCTAAAAATTAATCTGAAGACTAAAGTAATGGCTGTGGAAAATTTAGCTTTGCCACCACAGGAATAAATTACATTTTAAAGTTTATTAAAACAGAAAACAGTTATTTTTAACTAATAATATTTCACAATATGAATGAAATTGTTTTCATTACTGTAGTGTATTTTCGAACAAATAAATACAGCCTTAGTGAGGAAAAACAATAAAAAAATCTTACCAACTCCAAACTTTTGTATGTAAATGTAACATATTTTTATAGTTATGCCAAGCTCAAAAATATCTTATTGATTTTTTATATTTTTCATTAATTAAGATTTTATTCATTCAAGTACCTGCCTTCCGCTAAAAAGATATGCATTTAAACTTAGGTTAACAGCTTTTATGTGTGCTGTGCAGTGACTCACAGTATCCAGCTGAACCAGTGTTGTGTGTTTTACCCCTGCTAGCATCATCTATTTACACATGTTTTGAACACAATTGACTTCCAGAACTGAAAAGAAGGACAGTTACATCATAGCATGACATAACTGCTGACTAAGATGAAAAGAGTTCTTATAAGAGGTAAATCTTTTGTGTTCACACCTGGCTAGGTCAATAGTGGTTAAACTAGAAGTCAGCTGTAGGCGTGCGTGCACACACACACACCTGACTGGGCTGGTAGTGATGTACCCAGCGCTCCAGGTGACTGCTGTAGGCTCCAGGCTGAAGACAGCGCCGGTGCAGAGACAGCAGAGCTGCGGGAGAGGACGGCCCAGCGGAGATCACCTCGTGAAACGTGTAGTTTAGAGCCACAGGATCCTGATGAGCCCTCTGATGCTGGTGGAGAGAGAGTGACAGCAGTTGTAAACAGTAAACTTCTAATGTGTCACTGGAGGAGGATGTCTATAATATCTGGAAAACGCTCTCTATGATGGCCCTGCGAAACGCTCTTTCGTTCTTTGCTTAGAGGTAAAAAAAAAATAATAATAAATTGAAATACGTGACCATAGTATACTGTTAGTGAACTGCTTTACAGTATTAAAAACAGAGTCAGTCAGTGTTGCTTTCGTTTTGATTAGTAATATTTTTTGTACTATAAGGGCAGCTCTCCAGTGTATTCATGTTATTACAGGGGTCAGTCGTGGCTTAATGGTTAGAGAGTCTGACTTGTAACCCAAAGGTTGCCAGTTCCATTCTCAATCCCAGCAGGAATGTGAATGAACAGTCCTCTCTTCTGTGCTATATATATATATATATATACACACACACACACACACACACACCGGTCAAAAGTTTTAGATCGGTAAGATTTTTTATGTTTTTAAAAGAAGACTCTTCTGCTCACCAAGGCTGCAATTATTTGATAAAAAAACCAAAAAAAAAAACAGTAATATTGTGAAATATTATTACAATTTAAAACAGCATTTTTTATGTGAATATATAGTGAAGTGTAATTTATTCCTGTGATCAAAGCTGAATTTACAGCATCATTACTCCAGTCTTCAGTGTCACATTATCCTACAGAAATCATTATAATATGATGCTCAAGAAACATTTATGAATATTATCCATGTTGAAAACAGTTTTTTACATTTTTATTTCAGGATTCTTTGATGAATAGAAAGTTCAAAAGAAGAGAATTGATCTAAAATGGAAAGCTTTTGTAACATTAATCACTACCATTCAAAAGTTTGGGGTCAGTAAGAATTAATTTTTTTTTTATTTTTGGGGGAAAGAAATTAGAAAATACTTTTATTCATCAAGGATGAGTTAAATTGATCAAAAGTAAAAACATTTAAAATGTTAGAAAAAATTATATTTTAAATAAATGCTGTTCTTTTGAATTTTCTTATTCATCATAGAATTGTGGGGGGAAAAAAAAGGTACACGACTGTTTTCAACATTGAAAATAATAATTTATGTTTTTTGAGCATAAAATCAGCATATTAGAATGATTTCTGAAGGATCATGCGACACTGAAAACTGATGTGTAATCAGCAACAGTAATGATGTTGAAAATTCAGCTTTCAAAATATATTAAAAAAGAAAACAGTCATTTTAAATTGTCATAACATCTCACAATATTACGGTACTGGTTGTCATTTTTTTTCATCAAATAAAGCAGCCTTGGTGAGCAGAAGAGACTTCATTTAAAAACATAAAAAAATCTTACTGATCTAAAACTTTTGACCGGTAGTGTGTATATATATATATATATATATTGGGGCCTTTATCATTCCCATTTGTCTCACTTGCAGTTGCATGTGATTTGATGTGAATCTACCATCTTTCCTTATGGGTAGGCATTAAGTTCTGTTGCAAGGTGTTTTTTTAACCAATCATCTAAACTTTAAATGTCATGTGACTAATGACTCTAGAGACAGAAGAAATGAATAGCTGTGTCTGAAAGCTTAGGCATCTGACTTGTTGCCTCGCTTCCTTATCAGGCAAACACTTTGCAGGCTGCGTTTGCACATGTACTATAGGTGATTTTGGACAGACTTTTGGAAACGTTGGTCAAAAACGTGTATATATATACACAAACAGACCACCAACTGCAACTTTCAGATGCCATCGTTATTTTATCTCTCAACTGTCACATAAGGGAAAGCACAGGATTAAGGGATATCAAATGCAGTGAGGGGTACATCTATGCTGCCTTCAAATACCGATCAGATGAAGGTTTCTCGGGAGAATTCAAGTAAAGCTAACATTGGATTCAGACGTGCATTGATGCCTTGAGGGCAATGTCCCATCAAAGGCATCAGACAGAAATTTTTCCGTTTCCAATGAAAATAAATGTCAATTTTACATCAGACGATGTAGTCATGACATCTACCAGCAGGGGCTAACCGAGTCATGCTAACTAGCCAGCTAAACCTTGATCCTCTGGTGTCTTGTGTTCACAAACGCACCTGATACCAGGAATACGCCCGGTCAGCAGGGTTGATGAGGATAGAGATGATTTTGGCTCTTGGTAAGAGGGCAGCTGCTCTCTTCGGGGCAGTTTCAGTGTCAAAATAGTTTGCGCTCTTCTCAAACAGGAAGTCTGTGCTCACATTTGAGGGTACAGGGAAAAAATCCATATACCTGAGACAAGACACAGGGACAGAATTAGCTTGCACAATGAAGCAAACGGCAAATCCTATACCAGTAAAATATTAAGAAGGGAATAATGATGTTTGTTTTAAACATTCCTATGCAGGTGTTCTGAGTGTTTGTTAAGGCATTCCTATCGAAAGTTTACAGAACTCATTTGACCATTTATTTTGTCTACCTTGCAAAACCACATGTCTGATGACTTTGAAAAGTAATAGCTTGTTTTTTTAACCAGCGACATTTTTTTACCCAACATATCAGCATTAATAACAATAGTCATGCTTTCTGAGGCACAATATACTCACTAAAATATAAAATTTAGGACACATTTAAACCAAAAAGGAGTTCTGTCAGTGCAATGTGAGTGAAGCTTTGCAAATGAAACAAAGAGCATGAGGCATGGATGGAGTTTCCATGGTTACCAGTCAATGCCTCGCTGATAGTTTGGTCCGCTGAAGAACTGCACCTCCTCAAAGGTGACTGTGCTGGGGAAGCTGCTGGTAATGGCAGGATGAAGGGCAAGAAACGAGTGCAGTGCGGTTGTTCCTGCGGAAAGATCATGACACTAGAATACAATGCCGCATCAAGCTGTTTTAGTCAAATATGAATCACATTTCTTGGAAACATTCTGTGTACCGTGACTTGTATGCCAAATGCGTCCTACATCATAAAGCCTGGCTAATTGCTGGATTGTAATTTAGTTTCTTATGCTTTATAAGACTTCAACAGACTTAAAAAGACACTGGTTAGACACTTCTGTTACTGCAAACAAACTCACATTTATGTTCAAAACAGAATTGACTTTTAACCAAAAAAAAAAGAAGAATAGATTTTGATATTTTGTGTTACCGGTCTTCTGAGGGCCAATCACTAGAAACTTGGGCAGTCTGTCACAGGTCTTCTCTTTGGACCAGATGTCTTTGTGTCTCTTGTCATGACATGGGTTCTGTTCATCAGGATAAGTATTTGTAAGTATAATGTGAGCATAAATGAATATGAGAAAAATAATACAAATAACTTAATACAAAAAGTACAGTAAATGTCCCTGTTCATTATGTAAACAGCATTTTAATTCAAGGGTCTTTAACAGAGGATCCACAGGTACGCATCTAACATAGTAGTTTTTTGTTAAATACTATGTGTGTGTGTGTGTGTGTGTGTGTGTGTGTACATATATACTGTACACACACCCATTTATGCATGCATATCCACCTTATTTTTCAGGTAAGTCGACACTGCCATTTGTAATTTTAATGTGTCTGGTGTCTTCCAGTGTGATTTACTTCCAGTTATTTTAAGCTGTACAAAACAGCTTGTTATGCTGCTTTATATTGCAAACTGGTATTTCTTACCACATTATTTTAATGTATTGTCTTTATTTATAAGCACAATGTATATACACACACACACACACACACACACACACACACACAATACATACATATATACACGTTACATATACAGTATATATATATGTGTGTGTGTGTGTGTGTGTGTGTATGTATATATATATATATATATATATATACTGTATATATATATACACACATATACAAATATACACATACATATACAGACACACACACACATATATATATATATGAAGAGTTCAGATGCAAAAGCCTCTAAATGCCATTTGAAATTTTCTTCTAGAATGATCATTTTTATCAAGCTTGTATATTTAAGTTCAGTAATTTCACTTAAATGGCAATGATAATTACCTATTAATTGTTCTTTAAGTGAAATTACTGAACTTAAATATACAAGTTTGATAAAAATCATCATTAAAGAAGAAAATTTCAAATGGCATTTAGAGGCTTTTGCATCTGAACTCTTCATATATATATATATATAAATATATATATACACTGTATATAAAATCATAAAATACATACATTATATATACAAAAACCTTTTAGTTACTTTTTTAGTTACATTATTTTAGATACGATTAATTTGACAGCACTAATATGCCCGGCAAAAAAAAAAAAAAGAACAAAAAAGTGGCTGTTTGGATTTGACTATTTAAATCCAAACAGCCACTTTATTTTTAGAACCATGTGAAACAAAAGTAATTTAAAATTATTTGAAAGCTTTTTTTATATTGCTCACTTTACTACTGATTTTGGGGTGAAATGTGTCATTTTTGGCACAGTTGACAGCCTCCGCAACAAATAAGAGATTCATTTAGAACCATGAAAATGTAAGTGCACCAACCTGCCACAAGGGGTCTCTCTCATCAGGGAAAATCTGGAAGTATTTGTGAGCGAGTCTGACAGGAGGCAGAGTCTGCAGGCGCAGGTGAGTCCAGCACTGCACAAACCTCACCAACGACTCAAAGGTGTACAGGCCCAGCCGGTCGTTGCCATAGTTTGACAGGTGAGTCATGAATATACTAACCTAGCCATGGGAGAGGACGGGAACAAGTGGGTCAAAAAACAAACATTTATTGCATAATTATTGGGTTAGAGTGTCTTTGTGGGTGTGACACTAACCGGATTGAGCAGCACCGTAAGAAACAGCTCACCACCACGGATGCTTTTGTCCAGCTCCTGAGGGCCTCCTGGGTAATCTTTGTAGAAGATGGTGTGTGTGAAAAGCCCACATGTCTGCCGGGGAAGAACCTGATACACAAAGCCACACACAACTTAGTAAAGTCAAATTACACTAACAGAAATAAGAGCATTCTTGGGTAATCATTCCTTTATTAAAAATACGTTTGTAACATTACAATAAGGCTTGATTTGTTAATATTAGTTAATGCATTAGGTATCAGGTACTAAAAATGAACAATTTTAACAGCTTTATTCTAGGTTAATGATAATTTAAATTAAAATATTGTTCATTGTTACCTTATGTTTGTTCATTATTATTAACTTAAAAAATTAAAATTGTATTTAAAAAAAGAAAAAGAGGAAAAGGCACCACGGGCCAAAAGTTGTAATCAATGTAAAATTAGTATGGAAATCATTATTCCCCAAATACTTTTATACAGAAAAGATGTATTAAATAGATCAGAAGTGGTAAAGACATTTATAATGTTACAAAATATTTTTCAATAAATGCTGTTGAAGCATTGAACTTTCTATTCTAAAAAAGTATCATGTTTCCACAAAAATATTAAGCCGCAAAAACAGTTTTAAAGATTGATAATAAGAAGAACCATTATTAATAATTGTGCACCAAATTAGCATATTACAATGATTTCTAAAGCGTCAGGCTTCTGGAAATACAGCTTGCCATCACACAAATAAATTACATTTTAAAACAATATATATTAAAATAAAAAAACAGTTCATTTAAATTTTAGTGTTGTAATAATATTTCACAATACTACTGTTTTTACTGTATTACCAAATAAATACAGCCTTGGTGAGCACAAGTGACTTCTTAGAAAAACAATACAAAAATCTTATTTCAAACTTCAGTGTTTAGGAATTTGCATTAATCTTGAATGCTGTAAAAAGCATTGTTGTTAAATACGACACCTACTGCACATTGATGTGTTACCACTACGTTAAAAAAAAGTATTCAACTGCAGGAAAATATATAAAGCTTCTGGGTTAAGGTGGTGTGCCACCATACCCAAAATCACATGATTGACAATACCTGCCCTTGTTGACATTGTCCGCTGTTCTGACGTCACATTCTGACGCCTTTGGTATCAAGTAAAAAACAAATGTAGCGCTGCAATCGGTTGCATTCAGTCTAGTTGCTTTGCTAGATGCAACCAAGCATCTTATGTAAACGCCCCCTGAGAATGAGAAACATGTTTGACCGAGTCAGGTGAACTTGGGTTCCTACCTGAATGCCGTTGTGTATGAATCCCCTGCGGTAGCGGGCAGGCCTGAGATGAGGATACTCCTCTGTGCTGGTCACCTTGATGCCCCATACACTCTTCCAGGCATCATAAAGCTGACTGTGCACAGGGTAAACTCCTGAGTGATGGGGGGCTACAGCGTAACCCATGTCTGTGGGGATCCCATGCTCCTAAACGAGACACAACTTGGGATTACTTTCTAGTCGTGCAAAATCAAACAAATTCTTGTGGAACAAATAAACCGTTCAGAATCAAGAATTCAACAGCATATTATTTGGGATGCACTGTATCAGGGCAGGTTCGGACCTGTGCAAACTGTCTATTAAGTCTCATCTGTTCTGCGAGCACGCTGACGTTGTGGAAGAGATGAGGTTGCATGTGGCTCCACATGTGTGGGAACCACCAGAACTCTTGCCGGTGTCGGAGCAGCGTGTCGTCACCCTCATCTTCCTCATCTGTCCCTGAAAAGTGAGACCAAATAGAGACAAAGAATGCATGTGTGGAGGTGGAGACAGATTTGACCTGGTTAACTCATGTAATAACTTTATCATACTGTACCTGTATGAAAAAACTTGCCAGAGAATCCCAGGTTGAAGGTGAAATTAGGTACCAGAGAACGAAGTTTATTCTGTGTGTGAAGCAGTGCCTAGTGAGAAGATGAAGAAGAAAAAAAAATAATAATAATTTCAACTGGTTCAATTTACATCATTTTATAGTGTGCATTTGACACGATGAGCTGTTACTGCGGATTTTTATTTTGGGTATATTATGAAGCTATTGTAGGTTACAACTAATGGTGGGTGGTACAGTATGAATGTATCACAATATGAGTCACAGTGATGATATCTTGCAACAGTTATTTTTGCTGGATTTAAAAAAAATGTTGACAGTAAATACCCTTGTGTTAAAACTAATTTGGATAATCCAGTCAACTAAAAAAAAAAAAATACAAAATAAAGTCATTTTCTCTCTTTTTATAAGTTTTAAAGGGGTGATGAACTGAGAAATCAAATTTTCCTTGAGCTTTTGACATCTAAGAGGTCATCATATTATAAGAATATCCTGTAAGTTTCAGAACTGAAAACGGCCTTGTTAGTCCAATAAAAGCTTTCATTGACACGAGCCTCAGCAAACGACTCATTTTTAAAAGTGGGGGAACTATGACGTCAAAGAGGATAACACAGAAGAAGATCAACTGCCGGTTTGGCCCCGCCCACCGATTTGCGCATTTCACGCTTAGCTAAATAAAATAGATGCCTACCTCGTGATGACAAACCAGATCGAGCTACCGAGCAATACAAAATATAGTGCAGTGCCTGGTTGTGGAAGAAGACAGTCGCTGCATAAGCTTCCTCTGGATTCCAATAGGACTTCCAATAAAACTTTATTTTAATGACGTTCCAGCTGATGAGGGTAAAACATCGCTGTCTGTTCGCTTCATTTCACTGAGGATTGTTTTGTAAACAAGACTGGATTTGCAGACCGATTAAGAGTAAAGAACGGTGCTGTGCCGTCTATATTGGATCTGACAGGAATTGTGCAACACACGGACTCTGGGTCGAACATGTATGGTCGAATCATTTCGGTCGCCATTTTACAACATTGGACGTTTTCAAAACAATTTTCCCCACATACACCAACGGGTGAGACTTATTATAATATGCAAAACTGTTATCCACTCACAGCAGTGGGCGTTTACTTCCAAGTCTTCATTGCGACACGCCCATAAAAACCCAGCGTTTTTCAGGTAGGCTCACAACTTAGGTACAAAATAGCCTATTACCTATTCATTTTGATGTTTTTGAATGCAAAAACCAAGCGAACGTCATAAGTTGACCTCAGACAATAATATAATAAATTTAGAAAGCCAGTTCATGACCCCTTTAATAGTACTATGTATTGACAAAAAAAAAAAAGTTTCTGACTGGGTGGGTCACATTTAAAGTTGTGACCGCACATCAGTTCTAATGTATAAATGTGGCAAACAAACATAAACAGCTAAACTTTAAATTCAAAAGAGTACATTTTAAAGAATGTTGTTAATCAGACAGTTGACGGCACCCACTGACTTCCATTGTTCTTCCAAAGTCAAAGGTTGCTGTCAATTGTGTAATTAACCACATTCTTTAAAATATCTTCTTTTGTGTTCAGCAGAAGAGAGAAACAATCCTGGGCAGTCCTAGTCAACCAAGTATATTGTTTTGTTATTTTACAGATGCAGGTTGGAGACGAGTATAAAAGAGGGCAGGTCTTGCAGAAACAAGAAAGGCAATGAAGGTAAAGGGTGAGAAGAAATAATAAAAGAAAAGGATAAGAGAGAAAAATGAGAGAGAAATGTGAAGCTGAAAACCTCAGGCATGACATTGCTTTTGGTGTGCTGGGCCGCACAGAAACCCCTATGAGAACTTATCTGCTCAAATTAAAAAGTGAGCCAGTCTAATTAGCCCCATGCTAGCCTTCAGCAATAGCCTCCTTTCACTCTGAGGAGATGAGAGAGAGAGGGGGGGAGAGAGAGACAGAGAAAGAAAAAGAATGCCATGCTCCAATGCATTACAAACAAGCACTCCCTCTCGCACAATAATCAGGGCTCTCTACAAACAACGACAGAGAGAATACATCTCCCTGATCCGTATTAACCGTGCTAATTCATTAGCTTCATTTCAGTCATGGAGGAGCTCTGGGAGTGTGATGGCAGTCAGAGAGAAACTCTGAGAGTAAAAAGAGCTTGGATTATTCAAACAAAATATACCTTTGATGGAAGACAAACTGGGTCAGGACTGATTGATGTCTGATTCTCTAACAACCCCTTTCAAAAACAGACAATTTCATATCAACAAACTAGTTTTTTTTTTTTTTTTTTTTTTCCAAGGTTTTCCTTTATGGTTTCCTTTGTAAGGGGGGTGACTCCCACCCCCAAGTCTCTATGATATTCTGGTCACTAGATACGGCTTTACAGATTAAAGTCAATTGTTTTTGATAGTTTCCATTCGCCAGAAGAAAAAAAAAATCATAATCTTAAATCCTGCCGAACAAAGCAAAAAAGACGATCTGCACTAACTATAAGGAGCAGGTAGAAGTTGCTAACGCACAAGCAAGCTATAACTCAATCATTAAAGCTGCATAAAGTTTCTAAGAAAAATGACAAACCCATGAAGAGGTAAATATAAGACTGTCCAAGATGGTACTGATAATCTCAATCCATTTTTCGATCATCATTCTGAATACGATCAAGACGCAGTCTTTGACAAAAATCTGATTTATTGTGCTTTTTGATTTGATTTTTTTCAAATGAAATTTACCCACAATCAAGTGTTGATAAAAACAAATTAAGCTACATTTTTTTTTTTTTTTTACTTTTTTAAAGCAGAGGCTTCTTTAAATATATTGGCTGTTTACATATACAAAAATATTCTGGAGGCCAAGAACTTTTTGTGAATATGATAAAAAAATGTAAAAATAAAAATCACACTCAATGGTTGAACCTTTGAAAATGAAAATTAAGACTGTCATAAATATAAGTATTGTCATTTTTCTCATGTACTTGATAGTCATATTTATATGTAATCAGAAAACTATTGGCCAAATTGTGTAGCACAGCAAACCTGGAGCATTTTGCAAATAGTACATTTTGTCAGAAAAAAAATATAGTGAATCGATTTTCCCCCTCAAATCATGTAGCCCTACCGCAAAATATGAGCAATAGTAAGAGTGATGCTTGTCTTATCAAGCACATTTATCCAATACATTTTAAGGCTCTTACCTCAACATCCGCCACTTTCATGCGCGTCCCCTCCTTCCCAACAAAGATGTCATCCACGTCCACCAGCAAAAATCGGTCCAGAGACAAGCTGAGCCTCCTGCCAGTTAAATACCCCACAGCATCCACAAACAGCAGCTTGTGCAGCCAAAACGACAAGCTTCCACCAAAGAACACCCGCTGAATCCCATCGTGAAGACCTAGGTCCTGCACAACCGTAGCTAGCAGCGTTCTCTGTTGGTGTGAGTGGGTTGGGAGCTGATTGGGTTCTGCTGGTCTGGGGCTAGCTAACAGCACAGGCTCATAGGTGCTGTGGTTGGACAGGAAGGTGGTCCAGTTGTCTGCAGGTAGAGGGCCAGGTTCCAGCTCATTGGGTTTGGTGATGTAGAGTAGGGGTGCAGCAGGGTTGACTCTGTAATCCCAAAGTGGCAGGTTTGAACGCAAGAACAGAGGGAAGCCTCTGAGCTGAGCGCTGGATGGTGAGTTTTCATTTGCCCGGTAGAAGCCGATGATTCCCACTCCATAGTCTTGGCAGTATTTATCCAATAACTGGCGGTTCCACAAGTCCAGGTTGACGTACTTGAGCAGGTTCTCATAGACGATGAGCGTGTATCGGCCACGACCTCGCCAAGCCAGAGGAGGCATGTCCCCTTTTCCCGGTGCAATTTCAGTGCGGTAATGAAAGCGACTTGACTCCAAGATGGCAACGATCTCTTGTCCGAGTTGGGAGTAGATGCTTTCCACAAAGAGTAACACCACAGGCTCAGTCCGAGAGGTGTCTGCTGTTCTCGGCGAATGTCGCCGCTGGCTGATCTGAGATGGCAGGAACAGTGGAGCCCTTTGTCCGCCACCAACTACCGACGTAGCTACACAGTCCCCCAGTGGTAGCGGAAGAGGGGCCTCCTTGATCTTGGGTCCAGCAGTGACGTGATAAGCCAGGTAGGCCATGGAGAGTAGACAGAAGAGAATGAGTGCAAGGATCAGGCGGTGGAGACCTTGGTGCCTGATTACTCGTGCCAACTTCCTCACTCCAGCCATAGCTGTCTTGACCAAGTGGGTGACGGGGACAGAGAGAGGGTGGCGCCTCACTCTGGTAGGGAGGTACAATAAAAACAGGGCAGGGATTAAACGGCAATGAATTTGCCCTGCCAGGAAACAACCATTGAATCTAGGTCACCATGGCCCCCATAGCCTGCGACGGAGTCGCCACTCCGGTGTCTCTGTTTTTGTATCGTACTCCTCCCGTCCATATAATGACCCTACACCTAAGCAGCTGGAGGCATCATGTGAAAACACAGCTCAACTGTTTGTTCTTTAGAGTGTTGTTGCTTTGGCTTGAAACCCTCTGCATGCATCTGCTTGAACAAACCAGGTGTGAGAGAACAGTCATCTAGCAGAACCACATGTTCATCCTAAAAGAAAAATGAGAATGGGGGGAAAACAAAAGATTAAAAGGTTAGAAGGATTAGAACTAAATTTGTTTACTTTATGGCTGGAATACACTACACAACGTTTTCTCAGGTGTTTTTGCCACTATTCGCAGTCAGGAGAAGTTGAAGCTAGTTGTCTAAAGTCAGAGCCATTCTGTAGATTTTGTGTAGTCAGAGTTGACAGATATTGCATAAAATGCAGTATGATGTTTAGACTTGAAGTCATGTAGTGGATCCCAGCATTTAAAGATATATGTATCTGTCTCCCTCATATTGTTCTGAAAGCACCTCTGTTTCTTTTTTCCTTTTTAGGGGAGGGAGACAAAGGGAGAAATATACTGTTTGCTCTTTCCAATGCAATTACAATGAATGACGAATGACTTTTACAGCTTCAAAAAGGAAACAAAAAGCACCATGATGCTCCAGTCTCCATTCATTGGAGTTCTATGGAAAGGAGTGATCAATACATTATTCAAACAGCTTTAGAACACATCAAACGACTGGTAGAAATTACAGCGAAATCGATGTAAAAAATATTTTTTCTTAAACAGTTTATGGCCTTCACCTGATAAAGAGCTCTTTTTAATGCATTTAATCCATGTGTGACTTTACACGCTGTCAGATTATTAGCCATTACCAGTGTTCAGGCGTGTATGTAAACACACTCATTGACGACAATATTCCTTTTTGGGTGAACTAATCCTTTAATGATATTAAGAGACGACATTTCTAGACTCTAGGTTTATATTCATGGTTACCGCATTAAATTTGTCCTGTACTTAAAACACTCACATAAATAACACAAAATAAACATGGGAATTTCTGCTGCTATCTGAACTGCATCATGCACTTTCTTAACCTTTCAAATTTCAGGTCGTAGAGCTTCTCCCCATCCCAGGGGCCAACACATACAATAAGGGGCTACAGAGTATCTCCACAGAGAGAGTAATGAAGACAAACCATCTGCTGATTTTCCATTAGATGACACACAAACACATACTCACAAAAACACACCCCCTGCCCCATTAACACTCAATGTCCCCATCATCAAATCTCCCTTACCGTCTACATGAGACCTTTTCCCAGGGATCCCAAAATAACTCCTCCACCCCACACCATCCCTTAGTCATGATTCTCGGATATAGGCTTTCAGGTGTGACTAGAAATGTGTGAGAGTGCTAGTGCGTGTGCTACGTGCATACAAAAGAAGAGGGCGTCGAGTATGAAATGTTCAGTGCATAGTCTGTTTATCATGAGCTGCTTTCAGCTCTGTCGCGTCGTTCAATATCAAATGTGATTAAGTTTGGTAGATCCAACATTCACCTGTAGATACTGCAGAGAAACCTGATGCCGTGAGAAATTGAGTTCTAGTTAAGTAGGCCAAGCAACAACCCAAACAAGTAGCCATGCCACTGGCATTATCGCCTTTAACGCTGCAATATTAGCCTTTGCTAGCGTTACCTTTATTTGAATAAGTTCAAATAAAGGTCCTGTATTCAAAAGGACACAGGGAAATATCACTGTGTTTGAATCATTGCATTAAGCTTCCATTAAGTAATGACTTAAAAATGTCTCAATGCCTAATAGTTAAAAAGTGCAGAACAAGCCTTGGATGTGAAGCAGTTTCTGCACCAGAGATCCAGTTCCATTAATGTGGCACATTTCAATGATTAATCTCGGGGGGGTGGGGGGAAGCAGAATGGCTGAGCGTGAAGAATTTCAGAGATAAAACATAAGCTGACTTAGCAGTTTTATAATATAATATACTGTACCATGAAAATGGATCTTTCCAATTGCCAAGAATAACTTTGATACAGAACTTAGAAGAAACTCTATGACAGGAACAAAGTCCACCACAATGCTGGTGCCTTATCATCTGAGGATGTTTCTTTACTTCATATGTAAGCTTTTGATGCACATGGTCTAGTCAAAGAGGCTTTTTGAGAAAAGCAATGCAGCCTGTGACCACAGCGTGGAGCGAGAGCTTTGTAGTGCAGCTCTACAGAGTCTAACGCAGAAGGGCAGAATCAGCTCAGCCCGAGGGGTGCCTGAGGGCCACCCGCGTCACAACACGCATAAGCAGATGATATTCTTCAAGAGTCCTTAACACGCTCTCTTCACACAGCACTCAGAAACACTTAGAGTGACTCAGCACACATATTCCGTTTGACTTCAGAGTTGACTTATGGTTCCTTTCCTTCCACTAGGAAATCATTATCCTGGCCAGGCAGTATAGGGTTTCTATTCTGCCAGTGTGTCTGGCCAACAGGAGAACAGCTCTATGGGACACTGTTCCTTATGACTGCTGGAAGCCAACGGCTCTGTGGAATGTCTTACTGGCTTTATATAAAGACAAAGTGTCACATGCCCTCTGGCTGATATTTGATCCACAGGTAACATAAGGATAATGAATTCAGCAGGAGCCCTGTGAGCCGAGATTCACACAATTGAGGTTGAGTATTAATGAGACGAGTCATTTAAGTGATGAAGGCATTCATAAACACTTGAGGCATTCTAGAAATAAGGTACAAGAGAACTTTTTTTTTTTTGCTGTAATAAAATTCGGTCCCACTTTATATTAAATGGCTTGTACTTACCATCAAAAAGTAAGTACAATGTACTTGTTTTCATGATGTATTGTAAAGCACGGGTTAGGGTTAGGGTTAGTACCATGGCTCAATGTAGTGTTTAACCACTAAATCACAGGTCCGACTACATACATGATTTGGAGGAACACAATAGTCTACACACTCGCCGAAAAATCATTTTATAGAGGTGCAGCACATCATAGAGCCTATTAAATAAAAATATGTCTGTTGAATTAGTGGGATAAATGGTAGTATAATTCATTTGAAAGAAAAAAAAGAAGACAGAATGGGAAAAAAGCAGATGGCAAATGTTACAGAATTAGGATAAAGTTTAATATTCCATCTCTCTATCTTCCAAAAAGCCAAGATAAGCGCTCTCATTAACCAATAATAAATATTTAACAGTGGAAGATTAGAGTTAAATGGGTCTCCATTAGTCAGGTTATTCATCATAAGACTTCCAAAAGTGTGAGAAAGAAAAGGATTCAGCGAGAGATAAGGTGTTAATATAAAAGTGAGACAGTGTAATCAGGTAATTTAAGTAAGACACCCCTGTTTGATATCTCTGAAGTGTTTATGGAAAAGAGTAGCACATTACAGATAAGATAAGCCTAACATAAGGGATGAAAGTGTAATAGTGTTTGAAAGAGAGAGACAACGTTAAATAGTCATGAAATCAAACTTTTTTTCCTGCTGAATATTAGTTTCAAATATTTTTTATTGTTTCAATTTTTTAGCCTGAAATAAGTTATATTTTTGTAGTAAAATGGGTCGCTGTTTGAAGTTGATGTCTTCCCACACAAAAAAAAAATCTTTAAAGAACTTATATTCACCAATCCAATGCATGCAGAGGATGTAGATGTGAAGGATACAGTGTGTGCATGTTTGGTTTTTTTTAGAAAAGGACATGTGTCCGCATGTCTGTACAAGAAAATAGATTGTAATAGCTCAAAGCTGGTTGGTTTATACATGATGTATTTATAGTTGGACCACATTTAACATAACACTGGAATGCTTTGCTTACCCTGAAGTCTTTTACCAGGCTCTTGATGTGAAACCAAACTCAGACAACTCAAAAACACAAGCATAACAACTTAACTTACATAGTCAATATCCATGTCTGACTGTATCATGTCACCCCCCGGGGATGATATTATCATCAACAACACTTTTTTCAGTGTTTATCATTATAGTAAGCCGATTTCGGTAATGAAGGTGATGCTGAATTCATTTTTGCCATTACAGGAATAAATGATTTTTTTAATGTATTAAAGTAATTTTCATGATTTTTCACAATATTAGCCTACTCTTTTTACTCCATTACATTTTTACTGTTAATTTTGAGCCTTGGCAACCATATGACCATATTTCTTCTAAAACAATTTATAAAATCTTACAGACACCAAACTCTTGTATGGTAGTGTATATTTACAGTATGCAGTATCATTAGTGTACACACCAATATTTTCATCACAGCTGGTTTGACAGCACATAAAACCAGACTGCTGTGACAGTAGTCGAGTGCCAAAATGAGTCTCATTTCAAGATTCTGTCTTGGTATCCTTCAATTTTTTTAGCATTGACCAAAATAAGAGCATTTTGACATCCCTAATGGTTGCAATCACATGGCACATCATGCTCAGGAAGACTTCAGTTTCCACATGGCCAGATTCCCAAATACGTCTCATCCTGTCTAACTGTGCAGGTAATGGAACACAGTTTCATACTTGCGCGAGACATTGCATCTAAATCAATACTGGCTCAGGCATGATGGCGATGCTGGCGGCCATCTTCCCCAGGTCTACGTTAGAACAAGCCTGCGGTGGATTTGTAGCCACAAGGTCATGTATATTTCAGTGGAACCTACACAGGAGGTCAAGGCCTACCATGATTCACCTGCCCTTCTCTACCTCCCCACCTTGATACAGCTGTCAGTCAAATAAAAGATGACCACAGTGGCGTGCGCAGCCGACAGGCTGTCAAATCCATTTTAGAGAGCACTCCCTCAGACAGACACAAAAACACAAACAGCTATTAGAGCTGTCAGCCCCCATTCACAGACGGAGCAACTGACAGTATCTCTCCCCTACACTCAACAGTCCCTCATAAACACATTAATGCAGACAAACAAAAGACAAGCGATGCAGGTAATCATTCCATCAGAGGAATATAAATCAAGCTCAGCGCAGCATTAAGAACTAAAATCAATTCCAATCTTCTTGCTTTTAGCTTCCCTTCCTCCTTTACAAAATCTCCATGGTGATGGATCAATCACTCCACCCCTCCTGCGCCCTCCATTTCTGGGATATTGTATTAAGGGTTTGATTTCTCCAAGGTTCAGCTGGGCTCTCAGGAGCGGACAGATGAAGAACAGTAATCTTTTTTTAGCCTGAG